GCATCACGTCCACCGACCGTCTCCAGCGGCGGCGCACGGCCTCATCGTCCGCGACGGTCGGCGTCGGCGCCGACGGCGCTCCCACCGGCCGCCGCCGTACCGCCGCCGCGGCGCTGTTTTTACAATCGTCCGCCGTATCTGTCGGAGCCCGCCGAGCCGGAGCTGCGCTGGTGCGCCATATCTCGCCGCAGCCGCGCCACCAGCGCCGTCGGGCGCCGTATGGAGGCCGAATCGGCCGTACTCGGCGGCCAAGTTGCGCAGTCTTTCTGACAAATGGATATTTTATCATTGGGAGGAGAAATAAAGCCAGAGCGCAGAGGGAGGCGGGCGCTGCGGTGACGGACGGGGGTAGTATGCGGCTTCCGTAGACGGCCGGCAGACAGGCTTGTTGCTGAGCGCACAGCAAAATTACGGGACGATGCAGCTGCGATATGCAGCTGAATGCGGCAGGGCAAGGGATGTAGCGAAGTGAAAATACAGAGAGCAGGTATGAGCCGTTCGGATGGCGGTAGTGTTCCGTGCAAGGTGTGTTTTGCTGTGTGAATTGTTGAATACCGAAGGCTTTGCTCTGTTGTGAACTGAGAACATCGATGTGATGACCACGCTTGAGGGCAACATAATAAGCAATGATATAGAAAGGGAAGACGAAATTACTGAGTTTCCCACGTCATTAATCACCAAAATTCCACATTGTCCATACAAGCAGGTGTATCAATTATCATAAATCCATTTTAATCGTTGAAGCAGTTAACCTCAGGGGGTCTTTCGTCACTTTCTTTGCAACATACCGCGGTATTTACCACATACCTACCTAGGCCACTCTGTTTTGACCTTCCGCGACGTTACCCAACTCCCTCGCACCAGACGTGCGGTCTCGGACCCTGAGGTCTGGGTTGGATCACTACGGCGTTTCTTCCGACGTTAATTTCATTGCCGACACCGGACAATATCCGTCAGGTCTGAGAAACACCCCTGCTTTGACGGCTTCCAGCTGGAGTAACGCACAGACCATCAGCACCAGGGCATACCGGAGCGGATCAGTCTGGTTAAACCAACCAACCGCTGCGAGGAACAGTGTGAACTGTGCTTTCTCTGAAGCGTTACGTGTGGTCGCATTTCGCTGACGCTCATCCACGCTTAGCGACCTCAAGGACACTTGTCGGAGACACGGTCCTGACGATCCGAGGTCTCCGAATTCCAGTACCGGGGAAGTCCAGATCGAGCGGCGCCTCTGCTGCGGTCCGAGCCGCGCGGTAGAACTGAATGTCATGTGGACTCAGCAGTTGGTGTGGCCCCGGAGACGCTCTATTGGCTCCGATCGGCCACTCGACCACCGCCGCTCCAGGTGGAAAGTTCCATCGTCTCCGAGAGGCACGGGCGAATCCACAGCATTCCACCTCTGTGGAATTCTCTACCGGGTAATATCGACTTTCCCGTTTGCACACGAGTCCACCTTCGGCCACACGCGCAGCGGTGGATTCCTGCTAATGAATTTGTGCATGTTCCAGGCATCGTTCAGGGTTCGAGTTTTGGACCACATGCTTTGACAGCATCAGTGCTAGGTACGGTTTGTTGAATCGATGCCAGACCGGATTGAGTCGCGGCGAACAAACTCAATATGTGGACGTCCCATATGTCAACTTGCCTTATTGGACGCGACTTGCAATGAAGTTAGGAAAGCAATGTAAAGTTGGATGAGCATATACAATGGTATGCCTATCGACAAAGCTGCAATAATGTGCAAAAGTCGTGCAGAGAACACTTAACGAACCGCTGTGAAGCAAGTTTTAAAGTATAGTCGTTATAATGATTTACTAATAACTAATGACAACTTACCACAGTTATTATAAAATAAAACTATTACTGCGAACCGTCAAACATTGATACCCGACGGTATAAGTTTTTATTTTTTCTTCAGCACACTCAAGTAAGAGACTTTTTAAGTCTGTCCAGAAAGATTCATTGAAAAAAAGCAAAGAAGTACCTGCCTGCTCTCTATACTACATACACAAATCTCCCTTTTATCGAAACGGTCACTTCTAAGCCTGTGCTCCTGAACCGCGCCCCGGGATCCCGTTTCCGAGCCAACCGTTATACCTTATCCTCGGCTCTATTTTCTCCGCGGCGTTGTCGCTATCCCCCTCCAAACGCAGTGACCCACCGGCCGTCCCTACGACCCTTCCGTCCGCCCCGCCAACAATGGGTAACCGACCGGGCCGCTGTCGAGACCGCTTTTATACGCGCAGCCGGCCCGGCCCCTGGCCGCGAATGGCATTGTTTTGGTATCGCGCTGTCCCGGACGCATCATTTAGCCTTACGAGCCTCCGACACTGATAGCATCTCTGGAGACGCTTTAGGGCCGGCCGGGCCGGTCAGGCGAGAGGGCCTCTGGCAGGCGACCTCCCAACCCTCCCCGCACAGGAGGATGGGTGGGGTGGAGGTGGGGTAGGACGTGATGCTCGTACGTACAGCTCAGCGTAAAGTTTATGTGGGCTGATGAGTTGCTGATGCACTTCGAACTGAAAAGAGCCGGCAATATCCAAATCTTTTGTAATTGGGGCAAGTCCGAGAATCTTAAGACGAGCTTTTGCATTATTTTCTTATTCCAGCAATATATAAAAGAGCGTTGCAATCAGCTGATCACAGAATTCGCTCTAATATTTTCCCGAGTGAACGGGTTGCAAGGAAGGCGAGGATACTCACAAGTCCGCTAGTGTATGCAGGATAAGTCGCCTTACATACAATACAGCTACGTTCGTGCGAGAGTGGGAAGGACGTCGAGTGGTAGTTAGCGGACCAGGGTGCGCCTAATCGGCCGCGGTTCTCAGATCCTGCTCGCATTATCTGCAGAGCGCACCATGCGGTAAACACGGCGCCGTGACCAGCGCAGTCACCGTGGGACGCACAGTGCGCCAGCTGGGCGCACAGTGCAATGTGCGTGACCTGGAGCGGCCAGGGCGAGGTAGGCAGGCAGCCCCTCGATCCCGTGAGGGGAGAGCTGAGGGGAGCTCACTCAAATACCGCTGGTCCACGCTGACCAGACTGCGGAGTAGCCCGGCGTTCCGAGACTGAGTCGGCATACGGAGATGTTGCAAGTCAGTCGACGGAATGAGCACTGAGCAGCGGCGTTCAGAAGAAGTGCAGGCTGTTTGGCGGAGGACGCCCGGCCGCAGGTAACGTGATGCGCATGTCTGCCGACCGCGCGGTCCGTCCTCGGAGGTCAGCCAAGGTCACCGAGGTATCGGCGGGCCTGGGAGTCGGCCGCAGCCCCCAGAGTCATGATTGGCCGCTTTGTCCTGACATGTGGTAGAGCTTCATGGCGAATGCCACCCCTGGGTGGGCGGCCGGTCCGAATCCGCCCATTGTTCGTCGGGCATCGGCTGATCCCGTCGGTGTGCTTAAGGCCGCCCGGACTCGGCGCCCGGGGAAATTGCACCGTTTCGCACTAAACGCCCGATTCGGGTGGCTCGTTACACAGCGCTCTAAAGAGCCATCTCGGCCATAATATATGAAGATTACGCGCTGCGGGTTCATTCTCACATAAGCTCTTTGAAATTAGCTGACGCTTCTGTCGACTGTGGGTCCGGCCGGGTTGAAAGGGAACACGAAAGAACACTGCGGAACACGAAACGACATTTGAGATCTCACACGAGTTGTGTGAGACATATTAAAATGCTTTGAGTACGACTAATAACCAGAAACCTGCGAAGGACACAACCAAAAGTGACAAGATACAGTCTAAACACAACTCACAATTCAGCCATCCGGACACCCAGAGCCTCACATTGTCCTCAGCTCAGCTCGTGATCAAACCTCCCGAATCCTGCGCGCAGCACGTGTGAGCTGTCCCCGTCATCCTCCGAAGTCCGATCGTGCCAAGTCCCTCGCTCCGTGCTCGGCCGGTTCGTGCGGGCGTGCAGACCGTAAAAACACGGCCATTAGTCTTGTCTGCGATTGCCGACGGCCGAGCCGAATGATTCGTAATGCGTCCGACGAAAACGACGAGATTTCTTACAGTAGTGGGGTATATCGACGGAGGCTTTCCTTCCTGCGAGTCCATTGGGGCAGGCTGGCTTCTTTGACCGAGTGCATCCACACACCTTCGTTTTTATTGTCGTTTACATAGGTAGTTCATTATCCATAGGCCATAGCTCCGACCCAGCTGTCATTGCTGCCGGTTTTCTGCTTGCTTTGGGCCCCGCTGCAACCACAGACATTGTTTTCTGGTTTGCAATGTAAGGGCGTTGTCCAGCGGTGCCATGGAGCGGTCGTGAGCCATGTTGTCCTTGGTGGAGGCGAGGTAACAGAGAATGACTGCAGACTACGGTGACTGGATGTTTGCAGACACGGCCCCCGTCACGACTCTGTTCGCCTTTCAACGGCGCGGCCTCTATGCATGGCGTACTGATGTGTCGTGAATGGAGGAGAAAAAATACTCAGGCTAAGAGCGTTGAGGATTTATGTTTTGAATTGATGAGGATTGATGAGGATTAATGTGCCAGAATGACGGAGCAACGATGTCTCGATGAGTGCAGAAAAAATGCATCATTGTGATCTGTCACTGATACTTTAAATGAACAGGGTGTGAGAGGGATAATACCATAGCCTTTAAATATCCCACACATTTCCCATTTGACCTACTTGTGTCTCACCGTTCCCCATGGCCTTCATTTCCGTAACCGTGACCTTCCATCCGTGACCGTTAACTACCGGTGGCGGACCGTGATCCCTCCTATCGTGGTTCCGTGATCCCTCGTGCAGAAGTTCCGTGAGTTTCCTGCCTTGGTTCCGTGAAGGCGACATGACGGTCGTGTTCGGTCGCCCCACTGAGCCTTCCGACCCGTGTTTTGACAGCCGGTTAGCTGGGGGCCGCTAATCGCGCCTCCATCTGACCGTTTTTGTCGACCGCAGTGTGTTGGCTCCGCTGCGTTCGGACCTCGGACCTTCTACCGCTCCTCGCTTGCCATCTCGTCTGATGAGGTATGTCTCTCCACCCACAGATGGTCACCCGAACAAAGAAGATTTTCGTGGGAGGACTGTCGGCGCCCAGCACGCTGGAAGACGTCAAGAATTACTTTGAGCAGTTCGGCAGGGTGAGTACGGTTCGGTCGTGACCGGTTTTTGTAGCCGGCTGTCGGCCGTTTTTGTTTGGCGCTCACCGCAAATGACGTCTTCCGGGGCTTATCGTTTGATTGGATGTTCATGTTTGTGTCATTTTCCGATAGAATGGTACGGCGATAACCGATCCCATTTGACGATAGCTAAATGGCCTGCGTGGATGACATGAAGATAGCTTGTTTTTGCTGTTGAGCAAGTTCAGACTTTTTCGATTGGCCTTTTCTGTTAGAAGAATAACGAACGGATACAGGATTACGAGTTGGTTGTTACTTACATGACGAATATTACCGATATTTAGGAGTGAGTAGATATATGGCCTAAAACGCCCCTTTATTGGGCATCGGTAGGCTCCACGTCAAAGTCTATATAATTAAGCCAGAACCATACTCAGCGAAAACAAATTGGTTGTTATTATGATAGATAGTGCGGTTTGGGGAAAGTTGGCTAAAATTGACAGAACGTCTCGGACGCAATGAAGCGCAAGAGGTTAATGATTTTCCCTGGAACGGGCAGCCATCTATCATGTTTCATGTTAGCTGGCATACACATCTTCATTGACATGAAAATCTCATATTGATCGTGTGCCTTGCAGCGGCCTCAAACATGCAACGGTGTCACAGAAGCGTATGGGTCGCTCAATAACTCTAATGGCCCGTTGGGACTTTGGCATGCAATTTCACTCTCATAGTTTGCGTAGCGGGTTAATCTATGTGGGCTGCTCTTTGTAGGTATAATGGCGACCTATTTCCTATGGAATCGATTTTAGAAGGATCCTGAGTAGGACACTTGCGGTCGGCGATAGCTTTAAATTGCAACGTGCCACTTTTTGCGAAAAAGACACTTAACGATAAATGAATTAAATGTTCAGTTTAGTCGGCCTTGTTGCAGTTTCTTCAATGGTTGAAGCTGGCGCAATGCCTGAAAATGTTCCCAGTTGCGTTCAAGCATAGATATCGCTGATGGAAGAATCCTAGCAATAGCAGGTGGCTAGCAATCAAACAATTTGATCTAAAATATCCAGACTGTTCGGTTTCTACTGCCAACCAACGAGCAGAGCCCGAGATAGATTTCAACACTGGTTGCGAACGCTGTTGGTCTAAATACAAGCTGAAGCAAGCGCTTGCTTTTTGTCTCAAAGAGGCTTTCTGGTTCCGTGTCCTTTAGGGTCCAAGCAGGCGTGACTCACAGCCAGTTCAGCCTGCTCTTTGACGTGGCTCGGCCAGTTTTCCTCTCTATGGCATTCAACATATTTAATTTCCTTTTATTTTCCTGCTTCCTCTTTGGCCGGGCTTATCTCGGCTGGGTGCAGCGAACGGGGCCGGTATCGCAGATAACTAGACTGGACCCGCATATCTATGAAGACACCGCGGCCAATCGCTGCGTTTGCATAGAGCACTATCCCAGGAGTGGCCTCCCTGGATATATTGGGGGCGACGGTCCCCGCCCTGGACCGAAGAGATAGCTCAATATCGCAGTGTTATGTTTGAAAGCAATTTCCATTTGTCAAGAAATGTGCCAGACAGAAATGAAGGAATGACGGAATTCAATGGATGGCTGCGTTGCGCTTCTGGAAATACTTTGAGTAACATGGCCAGAAATCACCCTTGACATTTACCAGCGTATATATGATTGCTAATCTGTGTACTATCGTATGCGGACTATACTATCGCATGGTTAGATATGTCATTCCTAAAGTTATTTCTGTGTTTTCAGATAGAGGATGCCATGCTGATGTTCGACAAACAGACCAACAGACATCGAGGTAAGAGATGCATGACAATGTTTCATCATATTTCGTCTTTTCTTTTATAAATCAAGGCAATGACACGGCCATGCATTTTCGTTCATTTGATTTACGAGTCAAATTTAACTGGTCACAAAAGACACATGCGCTCTTGAGCAACGTCTGGCTCCTCCGCCTCTTAATATGGCTAACTTTTAACAATACGGTATTCGGATGGGCCAATTTCGTCAAAGAGCGCGCGGTGCCACCGAGGAAGTGATGCGCAGCGGACCGGCCGACCGCCATCGGACCGACCAGACTCGTTAATTAGATGCACTGGTGCCGAGTTTTATGGGTTGATACTGGGCCGTCCAGTGCCGGTCTGGACCCACCTGAGTTTGCTACTCGTCTAAGGACGTCTGAAGGACCGGCCCGGTCCAAAGTGCGCCCCTGGTTCCGTGGAAGAACGCCGGCCCTCGCCGCGGGAGGGGAATTGCACCGGGCGGCTGCTTTATAGCGGTTTTGATGAGCTTCGCTCTTTCCAATTCCTGGTACGGTTCGATCTAAATTTGACCGAATCTAATACCGACTGGACGCCGGCGATAAACGAGAATAGGTGTTTGAAAGACCATTTCCTTCGAGGAGAGTTGGCATTCAATTTTCAGCGCCGACCATTTTCAGCTCAATATTGTATCGGCTCTAAACCGCGTGTGGAAGTCGTGCCAATCGAACCACCCACAAAAATAAGCAAACTCTCCAGGATAAAATCTCTAAGAAGTTTGAACCGGTTCTTTTCAAAAGCGGAACAACTTGTGGTAATAATCCTCTGTAATCTTGTTCTGGAGACGCGAGATAAATAATTGAACTTTTCTCTTATAAACATGGTGACACTAATGAAAAAAGGTAAGGGATACACGAATTTTTAGCTGGATTGTTTGCTTTTTTATTATCTGTTCGTAAGCAATCGATGAATCAGGTGTCTTCAGGAAAGTTCATATAAATATTCTATTTGTTGATTCCCATTAGCGTTATTTTCCGCTCGAGGCAGCCGGCTACAGGCCGCGGCCGGAGCCTCCCAGCGCGGCGGCGTCTGCCTGTACTGGTATGCTGTGCCGCATCACACGAGACTGCACCGGCCGGGAGACACAGGGCCCTAACACCACGCGGCGCGGCCGCCGCGGTCCGCCAGCCGACATCAGGAGCCCCGCCCAGCGATTGTTGCTAATTTTCCGCCTGTGTTTACGTTCGAAAGCGCTTCCATTTGCCATGGTGCGGGTCGCGGAGCGCGTGGGACAGGCGGCGTTAGTTCGCCGGTCGTCCCCCGCACCCGGGTATTTTCTCAGCAAACAGCCCTGGCGCCGGTTCGACTTTACTCGGCCGTCCGACGGACTGACGGTGGCGACGGAGGTGTGCGATTGGAGAGTGACTGGACGCAGGAGAGACGGAGAGGTGTGAGCACAACAGTCGAGCGGTGCAGTTAGAACAACTTCCTCACCGCGCTGACAAGTTCACATTTCGGTATGACCGGTCTGGCCCATCTCACGGCGCCGAACACCAGGACAAACATCTCACTGCGCCGGGGCAAACAGCTAACGGAGAAGACAGTGAGAGCAGTAAGCGGAGTGTCGAACCGTGCCGAAAGCACGGCACCCAGCCTGTCACTTCCCCTCCCTAGTGAGCCGATCGTGCTGACAAACGACGGTCCGATTCGAACACAAATAAACCGACAATGCTCTCTAGTCTCTACTGTTGTCACTGCGGTTTCGCGCGTCTCCCGACCAACAGAGACGAATGGACTCGTGTCGCTGGGGCGTCGAGAACGCCCGGAATCCGCCACGAAAGGTGACGCCGGCACGTGTCATCGCTAAGGGCCTGTGCTCGAGCCATTTTGCCACGGAACTCGCGATACCCCGGGCGCAGTCCAGGGATCTGAGGCGAGCGATACTCCGCCGCGTAGAACTGCCTCGTATTTACGCCCGCCTCGAATTCGCGTCCGTCTTGAATTTGCGTCGTCTCGAGGAGGATAATCGAACGCGACGCTGATAAATGAGGGCGTGTAATTAAGACGGCGCTAAATTTATTGCCAGGCACTGTGTATATTGAGCGTTCCTTTGAAGCTTGCTGTGCTGTTTGTTTTCAAACGCCATTGTTTTGTCGGAATTGGAAGCGCAAATTGACAATAACGATTCATCGATGCATGGCACACTGTCAAATGGTCCATTCGGGCTCGTGGCTTGGCAGACAATGCACGTCTTAAATTCCATTCATTGCGTCTGTTTTTCCGAGATGAAGAAAAACCGTGCCATTATATCCGTTCGGGCCAAAGATCTGGCGACTGCCGACTCCGAACGATGTCGCGAATGCAGCGGCTAATTGGGTTGGTCGGCAGCGGAACTGTGCAAAAAAGAGACAGTATTGGGATGCGGGGCGCGCTTCAGTGCCATCAGGGCGTGGCGGACGATCGTGGCGCAGGAGGCGATGGCGGCGCGGCGGCATTGTCGCCGTCACGTCTCGTCAACTGGGGCGGTTACGGCGCAGCGGCCGGCGATTCCTGGCGCGTCTGCCGGGCCAGGTTGGGTCTGCGGATCATCTGCTGCGGCAGGTCAGGGGTGGAGGTGTCGGGACAATGTCAGACCCGGGGACGCACAGAAGACACTCCGGCGCACGGATTTAGCACAAACGCTAAATCCGCTAAATTTAGCACAACGCTAAATTTAGTAACTAAATCTCACGTGGATTTAGCCCAAACGCACGTATAGTAGCTAAATCTAACGTGGATTTAGCCCAAACGCACGGAGTTCAACCTGACGTCGCCAGTAGCAAGTTCGGGGTAGATGTTTTAATTCACATCGCATGTATCTGCAATCGCTGCCGACACTCGTTGCAGTGAGGTCCACTGCTGGCCGGTAGCGGTGGCGTATTTTGGGCGGACCACCTCGAGCGAGACGTTTTAATTGCTTGTTTGTGTAGTGGGCTCGATATGATCGAACAGGGATGGTGCCCTCACGAATCTCAGCAATATGATGGTAACCGTCGTATACAAAACGTATACGAAAGCCGCAATCGTCTCATGTTTTGGGTGCGATGCCCTTACACCTTTTTTTTTGTCCAAGCACATTTAAAATTCCGAGGCAAACATTAAGAAAAACAACACCAAGCGTGTTCTATGTCTGTAGCTCTTTAATCGTCATCGACAAAACATCAAGTTAGAACGTTTAACGTCAAGGAAAGCAAACATTCGTGGGCTTAAACGTTTCTCTACAAAGGTATCATTTTGTGGCATATTATAGCCTGAATATGCTAGCTCTGATTACATGGTAGCTTCTGAAGCAGATTGTTTGCAGGATAACTAGGCACGAACTCGTGGTTATGTGTGAAACCGCCAGTAATTACATGAAGTATTGTGTATAATCACCTTTCCACTTCCTAAGTGACTTCCAAATTACGTTGGCGTAAGGAGGTATATTTCCATGAACCACATAAAACTGTGTCTGGAGAAGGGCGACTCAAATGCATGTTATTCCAACGTGGCATTTTAGAGTCAAAAACAGTAGGCCACGGAGGGCCGCACGAGATGCAGGAGGAAATGTAGTCGAATTTACCATTTATCCGACGACCACAAAACATTCAACGAAATCGTCTACTTTGTGACGTACTTCACCACATCACACGTTCTGATAAAGCCTTCCATTTTCACCATGAATCACAATCTAAAATCGAAATACGCGTACGTCGTGCCGCAATGCGTTCCAAACCCCGGCTCTTCTTCACACTCCTCGCCAGTACCCGCGTCGCGCTCTCGCCCGGCATCTCAGGAACTCGGCAGAGGGAGGGCCCGGGGTCGACTCCACCCCCCCCCCCCTCCTCCGATCACCGGAAATCCGTGCCGGCGGCTCGCTGATTGATGTCGCTCTGTGCCCCCCCCCCCCGACCCCCCCCCCCCGCCGGAATGGGACTCAGGCTAATGGAGTCTCAGGACACGTCAGAGACCGACCCGTTGACGTCAGAGCTTGTACGAGCGGTCGGATGTCTGAAGAGTCGGATGATATATCCTACACAGCAGGCGCCCTTCTTATCCTCCGAATGATCTAAAATTGGGGCGCACTCAGGACGTTTTAGCATGTACGACGGGATATTTATCCAATACTCGTAGAACATCAACACCAATTTTAATTTTGATAACAACAACGTGAACATGAATTTCAATGTTAAATTCATGAAAAATACGGTTTGCAGACAACCATGAATGTCTTCCAGCATATCCTAATGTTATTCTGTTGTGCGTATTGTATGGGCTAATGCCAGTTCAACGTTTCATCGTTCAACGTTTCCTGCCGTATCCTTCACAACTACCATTCCAACTCCCACCCTCCCAGCTCTTAGCACGTGCCGCGGCGCGGCGCAGAGACACTCGCGGCGCATCTGCGGCGCCCCACGGCCGCGCCACCGCAGACATTGCCGTCGCGACCATCATTTAATTCGGTCGCCGCGCTCGGTCAATTTGGCTCGAATCTGGCGACGACACTTCGCTGAACTATTTGCACTGAACAATCGTGCCGCGGCCAGCCCGTCGGTGCGGAATGGATCCATATGTGCCCGAGTCAGTCGCCGGCCATGACAATAAACGCAGCGGGCCGCTCGGCGCCGCCGCCGCCGCCGCCCGCTCGTCGTTACAACGTCGTCGGGCCGAGATTTACATGTTTCTGTGAGTGCCCATCTGTCGCAGGCCGACGCTGCCTGTGCGTCAGATTTGTCGCAGGCGTGCTGCGTTTGTCGCTGGTGCGCTGCGCAGAAACTGACGCCGCTCGTCTCTCTATGTTTGCAGGATTTGGATTTGTCACATTCGAGAATGAGGATGTTGTCGACAAAGTGTGCGAGATTCATTTCCACGAGATCAATAATAAGATGGTGAGTACCCGGGCCCAGACGCTGATCACCTGATCTAACAACACAATACGCAATACACATGTGTGCGAGACAATGGTCATGCAAGCCATCGCATGCTAGGAAGAGATGCTAAGTGCTCTTGATGTGCACTCCAATGTAAATGTTGACAAATTACATTTTAGATTGAGAACCTTACATTTTTGCGGTAGCTTTGGTCTAAAAACAGGGCAGCAGCTCCCACCTACCGATAAAGTCTGACAGGAAAATTAAAAAAAAGAACAAATACAATGCACTTTGCACGTCAGCAAAACTCGTCGGCACCACCCGCTTCCAGCTACATCAAAGTGCTGGCTCATAAATTGTTTCATTTTGATATTTTTGCCGAGCGGCCGCTGATCAAGACCCCGATTGCCGTGCCTCGGAGGATTTACAGAGCGTTTTATGTCCTAACCGAATTCGGCGAACCGCTCAACTGCTTAGTTGTTCCAGCCTGCAGCTCACAGCGAACTTCTCCCAGTAAAACTGCTGTTTGAAATCAGCCGATGGGGCGATGTGTCGAGCCATTTGTTCCGTCATCAAAAGCTTACCAGCCACTCTGCGCTTCTGGTGGCGCTCACCGGCGGCCGTCCCGTGCAGACGGGAGAAGCGGCCGCCCGGGGACGACAAAAATGAACAGCCCGAGCGACAGAGTCGGCCCGAGATGCCGGAAAAGTAGCAGATCATAGTTGCGATGGTGTCAGAAAGCGCGACATCCCGCTTCATTGGCGATCAATGCAGCGACGAATGTCGTCTATGCAATGTAACAATTATTCAAAATAAAAGCATTGATACACCCAATCATTGAGTTTGGAATATGCCAACACTTTCTGAGCCTGACTGGCAATCAGCTGGGCGAATGGGCCGGCCAAACGCCGATATTTTCAGCCCGGTCCCATCGGTTCCGTCGCGGCCCGGCACGGTTGGGGAGGCAGCTCCTCGGACCCAGCCGACTCTGTCTGTTCATTCTGCTGACACCAGCTCGGGCCGGCGAATAAATTCAGCATCGTGGGCCGGCGGATCAACTCGAGAATGGATCGGATCGCCGCAGAGCCGCTCGCCATCCAAAATAGTTTGCCGCCAGATTTATGCGCGGGCTGTGTTTGCGAATCGGCACGAACGGTCTCCCCGGCTCGCCTCGGAGCCGATCGGACAGCGCGGGTCGGGGGGTCAAACGGAGACGACCCGATCGCAGAACTTGGACCTCAGTGCCATTCCAAAGCTCAGCGACGCAACTTTTACTATAGAATGCATAACTTTGGCCATGTGTCAAGCACAGTCATGATTTCCAATGCATCTCATGGGCTGAGTTTGACGCAGTGAAAAAGGATATTCATGAAATTATTTGCATATCCGGCTTGATCACATGCGGTACTGTCACGTCACGTAGAAAATAGCCACCACTTCTCTTACATCTCAATCACCCCATGCTGTGTTGGGTGGTCTGTATCTCAGGTCGACAGCCCTTCCTGTGCGCGGCGAGGCCGATGCCCCCTGTCATGGAGCCCTGGACGCGGCCGGCGGCGGGTGACACCGTTGACCCCGCCCTCCGTTCTCCGCTTCCCGCTCTGCTGCAGGTCGAGTGTAAGAAGGCGCAGCCCAAGGAGGTGATGCTGCCGCAGACGCTGGCGCGCGGCCGAGCGGCGGCTCGCGGCGGCTACGGTGAGTTGGTGCTCGTCTCGCCGGGACTCCCCTCGCTCGCCGCGTACCGCTACAGCCCCTACTCCGTGCCCAGCTCCGTGGCCGCCTGCGTGGCCAGCGCGCCGCCCACGGCGCTGCCCAGCGCGCCCCTGCTCGGCGCACACTCGCTGGGTCAGGTCGGCCTGGCCGGCGCGCCCCTGCACGGCTTCGACCTGGCCAGCTGCAAGAAACTGTTCGCCGGCGGCCTGTCGGCGGCGGCGGCGCCGGGTGCGATGACGCAGCACGCGCTGCCCACCCTGGCCGGTCTCGGCGGGCTGGAGCAGTACTACCAGATCCCGGTGGGCCTGTAGACTGGCCCCCCGGCCCGGGGACGTGCCCCGGTGGCTCCGAGCCGTGCGCCCGAGAGCGTGCCGTGTATGATACTCGCTGCGACCGCCGCGCGGCGCAGTCCGAACGCCCAGCAATAACGGCAGTAATAATGAACAAAGACGTGCATGTTTTCGTGCTGTTGTATATCTGTGTTATACGACACTAGCTTGAATCTCGTTATTTGAAGTGTTTCACCCTTACCTGTGAGGCTATTTTGCGCTGCGCCCCGGAGGGTGTCACTGGAATGCAGGGCCGGACGAATTGACGTTCGTAGGAGAGCCTTTCTCTCTGTGAATAGAGTCTCTCTATCTCTCTCTCTGTCGGTTTACGCTGTTGGCCACTATCACCATGCAGCAAACGCTTTTAAAAATTATTTGTTTCATTCATAATGTTGCTCCCCTAAAGTTATGTCGGTTGTAATTTGGAAAACGGCAAGATTCTGGTGGATTTAGTTATAATTAGTTTATATAGTCGAAACTAAAATGCCATTGGACACTAAAATGTCCCATGAATTTTGTACACGAAAATAGTTTAGCCATCTTAGCTCACTAGCCCGGTGAAAATTAGCCACGGGTTAGTCATATAGCTTAGCGCCAAAGGGTGCCTCATGATTCCAATTTTATACACAATTATTTTGGTAAAAGTAGCAAGCGATATTGCTGACACTAACTCACTCTCGGTGCCCATGTCTATCTGTCTTTTCACAATCGCCTTGAGCTCCGCCTACGCCCAGCTTTGTGCCGGTGTCACAGGCATCCGCGCACTGCCGGCTGACGGATGGACTTTGGCGAGGTCTAGCGAGCTTTAACGACATCTAGCTGAATTTCGGAGTCGGCTGCCGGCCACCAGTGTCTTCCAAATTAGTATTGAGAAGCAATAGTACAAACCGCTGAGTTTTCTATCCTGTGGTTTGTGGGTTAGACCATCAACCCGTGCGTCATATGGGAATGAGCCGACGGCCAGTCCAGCGGCCTCGGTGGCGCGTCTCTCACACCAGCCGAGAGTCGGACAGTCACACCTGTACCCTTCTCGAGTCTAAGTGGGCTGCTGTTTGCAGGGGTAATTCCATTTAAATGCTCAAGAGGGTTAGTTTCTTTTTGTGAGGTCCGACCACAATCCGTTTTAGTGAGTTCCCAGCAATTCTCTATAATTTCTCAAACCTAACTAGTAAGCCGCTGCTGTTGGGCTGGCTGAAATCCTTTCATTGCGTACGAGTACTTAAGTTGTTGATTTAGTACGTACATTGCCTGTATTTGTACTTAAGTGCAGCAGTAAAGACGCCGAGTTACCGTATATATTTTAGAGGGGACACAGTGTGGTGGCCCCAGAGACTGAGCGCGAGTGACTGAAGGACCGAGCGCGTGACTGAGTCAGGAGGGACGGAGCGCGCGCGATACTGATGTTGTCCGCGTTCGTCGCATCGTCGCTGTGTTCTCGTTAGCGGTTGACCGCGGGGGGCTGAGTGAGGGACGGGAGGGTGTGTGGGTGTGCCTGTGTTACCTGCCGTTGTATGTATGTCTGTGTGCGGCGGGGAGACTGGGCCCGACATTGAGCACCGGCCGGAGGCGCCGGTTTCGTCTGAGCTCTCAGTTTCTCTCTTTCTCTATCTCATCTATCTCTCCTCTGTGAGTGTGTCTGTGTGTGCGACCTCACGGCCTCGTCTTCTGTCTGTTCTGTGGGGCTCGCGGTAGCATAACGTCTCGTTGGGTCGCCCTCCCGGTGACCACAGCTCGGAGAGAGGTGCCGGCGGACGCGCTCGCCCCGCCGGGGCCCCCAGTCTCCCCGCCGCCCCGCCCGCCATCGGGCCGCCCCCACCCGGGTCAACTTTTGCTTTGTGCCAAGGCCCCCTTTTCGTCTGAATCAGTGTCATTAGCTTTGTATTTAACCTCTTTCACTCAATAAATGCGTCGAACGATTATTTTCTGTCCATTTTCTAATCTGCCCAGCGATACGGCTAATCAGTAGTTGGTAGTGAGTAGTAGACGTAGTGCAGTAGACGTAGATCGTAGTGAACCGGGCTCTTAATCATTGTATGCACACCTGTCAGAGCGATTAAACTCTGCGCCTGTCTCAGGTCTGGAGGGAGGGCCCTGATTGGCTGACTCAGATCTAAAGCTGATGTTCATTGGCTGGAGGGCGGCATGGCAAACTTGGCACGAGCTCCCAGTGACCTCACACCTTCCTTGGCCTCATATTCGTGGCGGCTGATTTCTTGTGAGTTGCCTTGGACGCAGCCCTGTGGTCTGGCTAGGCGGGTCGGGCGGGGGCAGACTCGACCGTCCCCGCAGCTCCTCGCTCGCTCATTGTGTTTTCCCATTCAGTTGGCTGCACAGCATAGCTGTTAGTCCAGTATCGGCACCCATAGCTAGTGGGTAGATCGTAAGATCCCAGTGCCCATACGGCGCACCAAATTCAGTCAGGAAATTCTGTACAGTCCGGCCTTCGGGCGGCCTTCTTTGACCCCGTTGGCCTGGGAAGCAATGCCACCAGCCCCTTCTCCCTACCACGCCCTGTCCGCCCGCCGGCCAGAACCCACGGGCTAGTCCGTCACCTTCTCACCCTCTCTCACTCTCTGCCCGTCCGGCTCCGTGCCGCGTCCTCCCTCTGTCTCTCTCGTTGTCCTCGAGTTCCCCCTCCTCGTGTGGTCACTGGGGGTGCGACACAACGGTACGTACCTATCCATCGTTTCGCCGCGGAGTAGTGCCGCCACGCGCTGACTGCTGGTCTGAAGGGGGTGACGCCCCGCCCCGCCCCCCGCGCCTCTCAGCCGCCCCCCTCTGACCTTTGACCTCGCTCACCAATCGCGGCAGGTCACCGCCTGTCCAGTCGGCTCAAATCGAGCGACTCAATCACGGCGCACAGCCGGGCGCTCCCGACTTAAACAGAGCAGCACTCAGTGGTAGCGCTTGTAGAGTAGCTCCTAAACAGTGATAAAGTCACTTGTTTTTCAGTAGTCTAGCTTCATTGTTTCACTACACGCGTCGTGCGTTAATGCTTCTCTGTGGACACCTTTTCACATGCATGGCTGCCGGGACACTCCGCTTCTGGGACCTCCCTCGGTGCCTTCTTTAAACGGGCTTCTGTTTCTGGGCTTTGGGCTTTCTTTCTTCTGGGTTCTAACATTAACATCCAACAAAAGCCGTGAAATTTCTGTAACTATTTTCCCTAGCTGCAACGTAACCGATTCCGAATTCAATACCATGCTGTGTCATGATGAACCGCCTCGCTGAAGGCAACCTTACAAAATTTCATATAAAAAGTTAAACTGCCTCACAAAATTTTGTCTCAACAATCTGTGTCCCCACGAGTTGCCGCAGTGGAACAATACGTTAGCACAGGCTGCTTAGCGCGTCTGAGCCGGGTTCGCTTGGCCCACTAGTGAACAGGTGCTCAGCTAAGGGGGACGGACTAGTCTATAGACGCTATTAGTCCACTGCTGGCAACCCTGTGAATATGCTCGCTTCTCGTTTGTTTGATTTGCGGACGACCCAGCGTCAGAGGCATCGCATATAATCGCTTAGGCGTTGTCAGTATAAGTCAAAAGATGATCTGACAGAAGTATCATTTTGATGACGTCATTCATTCTGACGCCGGGTCGCCCGCATTTGTTTGTCATGTTTGCTGACCTGCCATGACCTGACCTGACCTGGCCGGGGCGTGTTACAGGCTTCCCAGCGGCAGCAGCCTACGCCGCCTACGCCGGCCGCGGCTACTCTGGCTACGCCGGCTTCGGTTTCCCGTACGCAGGTAATATTCCGGCCCAGATGGTGCCCTACCTCCCCGAGCTGGGCCTGTACGGGCTGCACGCGTTGCCGTTGTGAGGCCGTCGCCGCCGGTCCGGCCGGCGCCGCGCGGCTGCCGCCGCCGTCACCGCCGCCGCCGCATGTGCTGTGGCCGGCGGGCTCCCAGCGGCCGGCAGAAGCACCCACCGCCGCCGCCGCTGCCGCCGCGGCGCCCGTGTCCCTGTACGTGTGGCGGTCAGCGCCGGGGGACCAGTGAGGGTTCTGGAGGACCCTGGGGGTCGGTCGGGGTCGGGGTCGGGCCCACTGACCACTGCGCCGGCTGCGGTCGGCTGGGCGGCGGCCAGCTGGCGTCACTAGTCTCGGCGGTCGGCCCGAGCGCTCGGCGACGAGTTATGACGCCGCTATCGTCGTGTCAAAGCGGCGGCGGCTGCCACTGATGGCCACGTCGGCCCCGTTGGACGCAGGCCAGACCGGAGCGCAGACGGTTCGGCCGGGACCGGGCCGCGGTTACTATCTCAGGTACACTTGTCCATAGGCGGGCGGGCCGCCCCCAGCGGCACGCAAAATGAACGGAGGCAGAGCGCCGCCCGTCTCTCGCTAGCCACGTCATCTTGGTCCTCGGTTATCGGTGTTAGTTGTGGCTACAGTGGCCAGTTGGGAGTGACGCGTAGGTAGTCCATTTGAATCCCATCTCTAATCCGGTAGTTGTCCAGTCTTTTACTTTTGTCGATCCGGTTGTTATAGGTGTTCTAGTGATAGCTGGGCTTCTGCCTTTAGGGATAGGTTAAGGTTTACAGTAAGTGAGTATCGGGAGATGAATCGAGGCTTGACTTCATTTTGTTAGCTGTAAGGTCCCCGGTAATATTTTCCTCAGCGCTCGATTTAAGTGATTTTTCCTCGCCTCTTCTCGGACAAAGTAATGGCCATAATTCCATTTGATGCGTTGTAACGTGAAGCGAACAGTGATAGATTCGAAAGTCCACATCTACCAACAATATTACAAATGTTATTATGCATAAAGATACCTTATTATTTGTTGACGTTATTACACTATCGTACAGCAGGATTCTATTGTAAACCATTCGATTCAGATATAACTTCAATACGTGGGTGGGTCGGCTTGTCGCTTCAGATTCAGCCATCACTTTCATGTCCTTGCATATCATATCATGCTGTCAAAGATCCCACACAAATATCTGTCACGATGCTTTGACTTCGCCAATGTTTGTTCACTGTTATCGCTTGCGTTGTTTGCCTGCTGGGTGGATTTAACAAGCTCGTCGCAATGATCACCTTTTCCGACCACCTCTTTGCAGAGGACATAGTTTTGATATCGAGCCGTGCAGCGTTTCACGGACGCTCCATACCGCCCCAGTTTCTATTGTAACACCAGTGTTACTTATTACACATATATGAAGCGTTTTACCGATGTGCAATATCGCGTTTCGCTGTTACACTCTTGATGTGCTGCGTGTTTTCGCTGTGCTCCGCGCCGGAGCGCGTGGGTTCCGTCTTGTTTGTGTGCTCCGGCCGATTGTGTGCTCCGCGGAGCCTTCGTGTCGTGTGTGCATGTGTTCTTCAATGTGCTCTCTCTGTGCCGGGCGGTCGACCGCACGTCGGGGATCGAGGCTGGTATCCCGCCAGTCTGCGGGGTGCGCCTCCCGGCCAATACACTAACGACAGCCACATATCATAGTTATCGGCCCGCAAACTGATGCGTGCGTAGACAACTTAGCATTGCTCAAGGAAAAAGAAACAAAAATGATGTCCAGGCTAGTGTTCCATTGATATAACTACCAGTTCCCTTGCTTCTTACCCAATCGTTCATATCCGAATTGCAAACAAACTTTTTCCTGCTATCTCAGCTTAGTAAATTGTGACGGAATCAGTACAAGGTGCTGTCGATGGTAAAGGCCGATTTTTTTTTTTTAATCAGCACATTATTATTCGATAGTCTGCGTTCTACCGGTGACTTCGCCTATCGGTCTGAGCGGTATGGCGGCTGCGGGCGGGTTCTGACTGATAGGGTGCGAAAATTCGGCGCTAGAGGTGGCGGCGGCGGTGGCAGCGGCGGCGGGGGCGGCTGGGGCTGCAGCGCACTGAATGGTGTATGAACGTGTTCCGCCATAAGACTGGCACACAGCTAGATCCTATTGGCTGCGCCGGCTGGGGCTCCTGCCGCCCCCGCCGCGGCGACGGCGGCCGTCCTGCCAGTAGTCTCCGCCGCCACCTCTAGTCGCCTAGTCGCCCTGTCGTTAGACCATCGCCCGTAGTCGCCAGTGTTCGGCCCAGCATGCGCAGTCACCGGAGAGCCCAAACTAGCAGTACCAAGTGCTCCTCCATCCTCCCACAACGACTCATCCAGTAAAGAGGGTAATGTCAGTGGAGCGGGCGAGGGATTAGTGCGGCCCGCGTGCCGCGACTCAACTCACTTCTCATTTGGCTCCGAGCCGACAAAGTGAGCCGCGCCCCGCGTCCACTGGCCAATCCTGGCGGCGATAAATTAGGTAAGGATAATGCCTAATGAGTGTGTAGCCTGACTATATATCTGCCGAATACATAGCAGTAGCCGTAGGGATTTAGGCGGATCTTCCGCGGCCGAGTCGGCCCCGTATTTACGACCGGGCTTTAGAGGTAAATGCGCCCGATGATATTAACACTAGATCTAGACGAGTGGACTTCTCGGCCGAATAGAGAGGCGAATATCCGTAGTTCTAGACGATATTCCTAGTCTGTATTGGAGCGGTGGCGATTGAGGAGTTGGCAACGCTCTCCGATATTGCGTCTGAAGTTAGTATCGCGTAGTCGGCGGCCGTCCGCTGGTAGGTGAGATGCTGTGAATTAGACGGTGTTCTAGCTAGACTCTAGGTGACTTCTCTCGAGTTAGCGATCTAGCGATCTATCTATTTAGTAATCTATCTAGTTCGTAATTAGTGTGTTCTTCCTACGGTCGTTCTCCTTTCTCTTGATGCGTGGGTATGTGAACTCTGTATTTTGATGTATGTTGAGGTCTTGACTATGAAAACCGGTGTGTTCCCTACGTTGACAGTGGAGGTTGTGTTTCCAAAGCCGATATGTCGACTTACCTGCACTGCAACGTTCTCCGCTTTTTCAAAGAAGCAAAATTCCCAAAGCATTTGCCTGGTTGGAGCACGACAGCACTCTGACCAGATCCCCAATTCCATGTTATTCGCGTGATAAATGCGAGCATAATGTGTAACATGCCCGCGTGAGCCGTTTTTAGGCAATTCAAATCTATTCTGTGACTACACTATGACATGATGTGTGGAAAGGCAGCGACCTTTATGTGCCATGCGCCTTAAATATTCATCAGTTTTGCACAACAATCTGCGACAAGAGGTGATACCGATGCCAGAAACACGCTAAAACAATTCATCAAATGTTCAATAGAACATTAACATTCCCGAGACTACCAAAGCATATTCGATCCGTGTGTTTATGTGTGTCTCAATTGTTGTACATCGCCCTGTAGTAACCTCCCTACGGTATGTTTCAGCGAGTTTCACGTCGTACGGCTACTTCCCGTCGCCGGCGGGCGCCACGCTGGCCTCTAACGGCGCTGCCGAGCGGGCCAACGGCACCACCTACTACCAGGAGTACTCGGCAGGTGCAGTGCCGGCCGCCGGACCCGTCAGTCTGAGCACGCCGAGCCGCACCGAGAACCACGTCAGCCAGTCGCCGCTGCACCGGGACAACCCGTACGGCACGCGGACAGGTGAGAGCACAATCCGTACGGCACGCGGACAGGTGAGAGCACAATCCGTACGGCACGCGGACAGGTGAGGGGTCAACCCGTACGGCACGCGGACAGATGAGGGAACGACCCGTACTGGGAGGGGACAGGTGAGGGAGCGACCCGTACTGGGAGGGGACAATCCGTACGGCACGCGGACAGGTGAGAGCACAATCCGTACGGTACCCGGACAGGTGACGGAACGACCCGTATTGGGAGGGGACAACTCGTCAGCCAGTCGCCGCTGCACCGGGACAACCCGTACGGCACGCGGACAGGTGAGAGCACAATCCGTACGGCACGCGGACAGGTGAGGGAACGACCCGTATGTGAGGTGGACAGTCCGTAAGGCACGTGATCAGGTGAGGGAACAATCTACATTGGGGAAATGGGGAGCGTTCAACCGGCCACTCCAGACATCTACACAGGGCAGCTGAGGTCACAGATGTAACTACGTCCTGGTTAGTTCAGGTCACACAGGTCATAGTGAAGGTCATTATGATAAAAGTATTCACAAATGTCAGTAGTGAGCACCGGCGAAAGAAGTTGGAAATGGAATGCACACTTCTAGTGTAATTCAAAATGCTAAATGGGGGGTTAGTTTCTGCGTTGCACTCTGTGTATTTCCGATACTCGAAGTTTAGTTTGAAACTACGATTGGGTGAGGCACAACACCATGCACAAAGTTTATCATCGAGCTTCCAAGTGTCAAACATTTCCGGCAGCACGCACCAACTGACAGCCGTCGAAATCGCCCCGCTTTCCGACTACTCAATAAGGGATGTTTGCTCCACCATCCGTTACCCTCCCGTACGTTTTCTCGAGCGCTCCGTGCCGAACGATTGAGACATTGTTTTTGCCGCTGCACCGGTGAGGCCCTCATCGATGCCTCTTAGCCTGATGAAACATCCATCAGTTACGCCGGGAGCTGGCAAAACAATACCAAACCAAGTGCGTCGCTCACTTCAAGCCACATATTTGGTACCGACAGCTCACAGAGGAAACTTTTTCAGCGATCGATGCGAGCGTTGCGAATTGCGAATCACGGACAAGACGAATACCGGGCCGTCAATACAGACAATGCAGTTTATTGCTCAAACATCGTAAGATCAAAATCTTTGCTTCAGCACAAATACGTGGTGCTCTGTACCGAGTTGTATCGTCAGTGAGCAGAAACCAGAGGTCTTGCAGCTCTCCAATATACCCATTCGTCCTATTCAGTCCGACCTGTCGTATTCCATTTCACACAGGCCCATCCCGTCCACCCAGATCCATCCATTCTCTCCTCACCCGTGGATGAGGTCCATGAGCGGGGGCGTCCACTCAGGTGGCCGTGGGAGGTCAATCGGTCTGGCGTGGGAGGCGGACGACCTGTCACACAGCGTGGGAGCGGGGTGACAGTCGCCAGAGCCCTTTGGATCTCCACATAATGAGCCGCACAGCTGGACGTCACGACGATCGCTGCAAGTTTATTGAATAATTAAGGGGTGCAACTGCATTTGATATCGACCAAACGCCAGCCTGTCGGCTAATTTGCCTCCAGAAATAGTTGCGCCGCCTGCCGGCTGTTGTCTGGCGTCACTGCGACAGCTGAAAGTGTCACTGCACGACTTACGGTACCGTTGCACACTCTCTAGTAACTATTTGATTAATTCAGAAGACACCAACTAGTCGTTCGGTACTCATAGTAACTCGAATCCACACCTACTTACTCGATCACAGTTTGTCTCCTACAGACTTGCGATTCAATACGAGCTCAACTCTCAACTCCACTGAAGAGATAGTCACCGACCCATCCACCTAACGGCTCTCTGCCATCTCCCTGCTCAGGTGACGAAGCTGTTTGTCCCACACTCAACTTGACGGACGCAATCGGCCTAATGCCGTTAGTTTGCCGGCGGCGCCGATCCTCCGGCTCGCTTCCAGGCCGGGTCGTGCCGCTGTCTACATCGATAATGAGAACCGTTTGTATTCGGTACCGGTTCGCGGCCGGCTTTTCATTTTCACATGCTCGATAGAGTTTTAAACTTTGGACCATTGAAGAGCTGGCGGCGTCGCGTCGGATCCATTCCCGGGCCGGTTTTATCGTCACACAGGCGGTGCCTGCTGAGCCGGAGAGTGGAGCCGCTCCTTGCGGCCGACTTGAGGGCGTCTGGGGCCGAGCACGGGCGGTAGGGTTCTCGGATGGCGCACTCTGAGACAGTCTGAGTCTGAGACTGAGGTGGCAGAGTCGGGGACGGTCTGAGTCTGAGGAGGCAGAGTCTGGGACAGAGTTTGGTAGCTGTGCCCCAGCCGAATCGGAACACCTTCCCACAGAATGTGGAGCACTATACGCTCGGTCCGTTCAGAACCCCGCCGCGCACTGCTCTCAGCATAGCGACAGAAGAAAGCAGATGAAAGAGCCGGTCTCAGGAAAGAGAGGAGAGTGAAGAGGCGGGGAGGGCGGCTCTCCATTCGTTTTTTGACGGGACGTCCGGCGAGGTCGGCCCTCTCTCGAGTGTTGACTGTGCGGGAGAAGTCGGACCATACAAAGGCCGCGGCGGAACTATCTTGTTTATATCTCCCGCTCTCAAAGTTGAACAAATAAATCCAAACTCTTGCGGAAATTAAACCTGCAGCGGCCCGCAGACGCGCATTGAGGATACGACTGCCGCGCACTGCGCCGACCATAACTATTGTCTACGAGCTCGAGCCCTCGGTACTAGCAACTCGGACCAGCCTTTGTGAGGCCGTGGTACTGATAGTAAAGAGTAGGATTTGGTTAGGCGGTAGGACGTCATTCTGAGTCAAGCAGGACGAACCGCGTTGTAGGACGAAATACTGACAGTCGAGCGGGACGGACCGGGCGGTAGAACGACATACTGACAGCCGAGCGAGACCGTCCAGGCTGAAGACAAAATACTGACTATGGCGCCGAAATTCAGCGTTTCCAGCGTGTCGAGCTCAGCCGATCGGTTGCACCCCTGGGTGTACGGCACTTAGTTACTGCGGCACACTCCAAGACGCATGGGCGCCGATTTGTTTACCGTTGCGTGTCAGACAATCGAGAGCCCGTCCGCTGGGAAAACACGCCCGTCGACGGCAGGATGCATATCGACAGCGGCCATCGATAACGGTACAGTCACACAGACACGAGTGGCCTACGTCTTAGCAGGCCAGTTGCTAGGCCAACACACAGTCCGGTGAAATCGAACGCAGTACGCACGTTTAGCAGAAACTGACGCCATTCTAGGACTGGTATAGGTTTTGCATTGCCATTGCTTTGAAAAATAACGGCCACCACATTGCTATTTTTTGCTTCATATCGTAACACAAACATCTTAATTCTTCATCCCCTGCCTATTACCAAACTGCCACCGTCCTAAGGGCACGTCTCTCTTTGCACCCTGAATTGGAATCTACCGGCCTTGATCGCCGCAGTATCCCGCCGGCCGCCCCCGGCTGTGTGGCTGATGAGCCCGGGCCCGGTGCTCGTTTTGTGTCGCGCCGTTCGATTCCCGCCCGCGTCACTTTACGAGTCGCCCGGCCGCCGCGCGCTCCTGATGCGCCACTTTGGTCACCACGCGCGCCTGATGCGCCACTATCGTCGCAGCGGCAGGCCGGCGCCGCCGACGGCGTCCCTTATTAAATGGGCCGCGAAGTTGTTGAGCGTCGCTGTGCTGGCGGCTGGCGGTGGCGAGGAGCGGCGCGGCGCGGCGGGTGGCGCGACCTGGTACCGTCCGACGTTCGGCGCCGCAACTGAAACTAATTAGAGGCACCGGGCGACGGCGGACGGCCGGCCCTGCACGGAGCTGGCAGGGCCAGGCGGACTGAGATTGCAGCCGGCCAGACATTCAGCCGGGACCGAGTCGGGGACGGCACCATAAAGGCAGCGGTCTAGCCAGCTAGACAGACCAAATCAAACCTAGTCCAGGTCCTGCAGATCACTTACTACGCGTTCATGCTCAATGAGTGTGATATAAACTCAAGTGACCATTCACATGACTAGATGGACCTCGTAACTCGGTTCCATCGTTGACTGATCAATGAATCCGTGAGCTGTGCACTAGTCGAATGCGTTCGTGAATCGTGACGTGTCGGTCTGTCTGTCCCCAGACCTGGTGAACGGAACCCTGACCAACGGCAATGGCCCGCTGCTGACACAAGCGCTCTCCGGTGAGTATAAACTGTACCGGTACGAACATACCCCATTGGGACTCAGTGCAAACGTAAGCCAGTGCCAGTACAGACTTACCAACGGGAATTAAGCTCCATTATACGAGACAGTGGAGGTTTTGCGTAGCGTCAGCAACACGCAATTTAGGTATTTGGTGACAAGCAAACAAAAGATGGCTCTGAAAGAATGCCTTATCAGTTATCACGCAACATTATCAGTCGCTTCCCAGAAAACCCGGCAGAAAGGCCTGATCCCACCTAGTAAACATTCCCATCCCATCTAACAAGGCTAACCCAAAACCCTGTTAGTCTCATCTCTATACAGTGTATGTAGTGTACCTCCCAGGATCCCGACTCAGCCGCGTCAACAGCCACCCATCTTCAGACGGTGCCGGCGCGACCCTCTCGCCCTGGATTCGCTCTCCCCAGCCTCCCCTCTCCCAGCTCCGTTCCGTAATTGTGCGCTGGCCCGGTAATTGTTTGGCGGCCCAGTCGGAATTGATGACGGGTTCGCATCGCGCGCACCATTCGCTTTTTATTGACGGCTCGCCGCCAAGCGGTGCGGATTAACTATCGAGCGCCGTCGAGAGGCCCGGGCTCTCCCGGCACGGTCCTTAGAGCTCCTTGGCACCGGCAGAGGTGGCGCACCAGACGAGGTGGGGGTCTGGGGGCCGAGCGCTGCACCAATCAGAGATCGGGGGAGGGGCCAGACAGGGGTCGGCCCTCTGACCCCGCCCGCCCGGGACAGGTGCCAGCGGCGCGGTCAGTTGGCCAGAGGAAGGCCTCGGGGGAAGATCCATCATCACTTTTTGTAACGTCCCAGACGCTGCAACTATCTGGTGAACACTCGCTGAAAGTTGTTTGATATTTGAGATAAACTATGATAGCCGTGGGTAACAAATCAACACATTCAGCAACATATCAATCTTCGAGAATATTTAATATTACTTAATTTATTGTTCGCCGTAGACATCATCTTTCATACAGACGTCGAATTCCACATGCAACTTTATAACATCGTTCACATCAGCCACGCCTCATATGATAATATGCAGCTTGGGCATGTGATCGATTATATTATAGGGGTCTTGGAGTCTTGAACAGGAAGTTAAGAGAACCCAAGTCAAGGATTATTCTACTTTACTTTTACAAACCGTTAATAATGCAAGCCAACACCAACACCCGCTGGCCATTTAAATCTTTTCCCGATGGTCTAGACAGTGCAGGGCTCCTGCCACGAATTAGTGCTCAACATACAATACACTAAACCACATACATACATTTTCACATAACTACAGGGTGTTGCAGGTAAATTGGGAATTTTCAGACCTAATTTCAACATGCTATTAATACGGTGAATGAAAACACAGAAAGTTGAAACTTCGCACGTGTATTGTGTCGTGTACGCACAGCCTTGTCACTCGATGTGACCGCCGTCGGCGTCCCGCACCCTCTCGAGACGGCGCCGGAAAGCGGAGCACGCGCGCCGGGCCTCGTCCTGGTCAATGGTGCTGACTGCCTTCCTGATGGCCTTCTTCAGGTCAGAAACGTTGGCAGGAGTGGTCGAGTTGGACTTTTGTTCTACCACGCCCCACATCCATAAGTCGCATGGATTCAAGTCAGGCGAGTTGGAGGGCCATATGTCCTTGGGTACATGTAGGGGGATCCTCTGGCTCAGAAAATCTTGCACCCTCTGGGAAGCATGTGCTGGGGCGGAGTCTTGCACCAGCATGACTTTGCTCAGGTCATAGTATTTCATCATCCAGGGGATGAGAGACTCCTTCAGGATGGTCAAATACGCGTCAGTGTCGATCATCACACCAGCAGGTGTGAAATGGGGCGGCATTATGCGGCCATCACTTGCAACGGCCCCGAACACCATCACTGATGCCGGATTTTTGCGTTTCATCACGGGAGCCACTTCATCAGGGCTGTAGGCGATAGCCCGCAAGTTCCCGCGGTTGGCGACCTCTTCTACGATGAACTTTTTCTCATCAACAAATACTATGACGTCACTCCCGAGGTGCTTGAGGAGATTGATGACCTTCGGTGCCCTCTCCCTTCGTATCGCCCTTGCTGGTTCGGTCAGGAGGCTTCGTCGTTTTCTGGTAAACGACTTCATCCCGAGGTCCTCTCACGGCTCTGCTGATGGTGCTCTTGCTCACGTGACGGGCACGCGCAAGCTTGTTCATCGAGGTCCTCGGTTTGGCCTGTATCGAGCGTTTCAAGCCGCTCAGGAATGTTGGTGTCCGTTTTCGGTCACTGCGAGGTGTGTGAGAACGTCGAGCGACATCCCCTCCAGCTCCTACAGTCGCGATAGTTCGGTACACGGTAGACTTTGGGTACCCAGTTAAACTTAGCATGACCTTCGCGCTCTGTCCGGCGCGAACTAACTCACCAATCGTTTCCCTCCGACGCTGCTCCATGACTGCGCGATATGTTAGGATTAAAATTTCAATATCAAATGAAAAACAATTGTTGAAATTATATTGTGTCAAATTTCCATGATGTACCTCCGCATAACAAATTTTTTGTAAGGTCATGAACTTAGTCCCAATTTATCTGCAACACCCTGTATACGCACGCTTCTGCGCTTTGTGGGAACTCACGACTGGCCATTGTCTACTGGGGCATTCCACGATATAGATCGACCAAGGCCTAACACCCGACCATTTTTGATTTTGATGAAATCTTGTCTATAGGGTTCTCTTATGCCCTGAAGTCAATGGTGACAACGCCAGGCCCCTACGGTCAGCGGTTTAGGAGATATAGCCCCGGGCATTTTGACGAGGTCACTCTGCAGAGTGATTTTTGAGGTGCTATATCTCCTAAAGTAATGAAGGAAATGCATTAAACCTTTGCATCGTTGTGATCGTGGTGAAATGGGCAATTAATTGGCCATCTCGGATTTTCAAAAAAATGATTTTGATTTTTAGCTGTGACGTCATCAATTTTTAAACTTTCTGGCTACCCCCTAGTACATTAAAATTTGCCATTATTTTTGCTCAGAAATAAAGTTCCGTCAATTTCCTTTCGACTGGGAAAAAACAAAAATGGTAATCTTTCTACAAATATTTTATTTTATTTTTTGAAAATCGCACTACAAACTCTGATTTACAGAATCGGGTTATTAAGCAATATAAGACACATCTGCGAGGACCAGTTACTTCCAAAAAGAGGTTATCTGGGTTTCGGCATATAATATTCTTCTCTTTAACTTCACTTTTGATAACAAAAAAAGAACTTTAATATTACTTGCACAGGAGTCAATATAATGGCAAAATTATACATACTTTTGAGCTGCCACAGCTGCCTTGTTTATCAACGTAGCTCAAATAAGTAAAAAGTGTGTTTGTGTTTGTGTGGCCGTGATCTCGTTCCTGTCTTGGTGCTTTGCCGTCTGTTATTGCAACTGCAATAGAAATGCACTCCGTTGTTTATGGCTTTTATTGCATCCAGCAATACCTAGTCACATTACACCACCTTTTGCCTTCCTGAAACTACCAATTATTTTGTTCGTTTATAATTAGTCGGTTCGTAAATATGCTTTGCAAATCGACTGTCGGTTGGTCATTTGAGCTACGTTGATAAACAAGGCAGCTGTGGCAGCTCAAAAGTATGCATAATTTTGCCATTATATTGACTCCTGTGCAAGTAATATTAAAGTTCTTTTTTTTGTTATCAAAAGTGAAGTTAAAGAGAAGAATATTATATGCCGAAACTCAGATAACCTCTTTTTGGAAGTAACTGGTCCTCGCAGATGTGTCTTATATTGCTTAATAACCCGATTCTGTAAATCAAAGTTTGTAGTGCGATTTTCAAAAAATAAAATAAAATATTTGTAGAAAGATTACCATTTTTGTTTTTCCCAGTCGAAAGGAAATTGACGGAACCATGACGGAACTTTATTTCTGAGCAAAAATAATGGCAAATTTTAATGTACTAGGGGGGTAGCCAGAAAGTTTAAAAATTGATGACGTCACAGCTAAAAATCAAAATCATTTTTTTGAAAATCCGAGATGGCTAATTAATTGCCCATTTCACCACGATCACAACGATGCAAAGGTTTAATGCATTTCCTTCATTCCTTTAGGAGATATAGCACTTCAAAAATCACTCTGCAGAGTGACCTCGTCAAAATGCCCGGGGCTATATCTCCTAAACCGCTGACCGTAGGGGTCTGGCGTTGTCACCATTGACTTCAGGGCATAAGAGAACCCTGTAGACAAGATTTCATCAAAATCAAAAATGGTCGGGTGTAAATCTGATAAAATTTTGGTCGATCTATCGTGGAATGCCCCTACTGCCGGTGGGCAGCAGGACAATAGATGGACCGGGGGCGGCGGATCTCTATTTCTGCCAGCACTATCTGAGGGCTGATGGCTCACATCTCTGTTGATGTGGTGTGTGGGCAAAAACTGAACGGAGGGATAAGGATATTCTTAGGCAGAGGCGGAGGCAATAGAAACTGGATAAAGGACATAAAATATTTGTAACGTTGGGTAGAACGCTCTAGATGAGGACACTAGCACAAATGTCATCTCAGCTTTGGGGATTTTTTTTTAATTGAGACTATAGATACTATATCTTGTTATAATACCAAATTTTCTGATGGCATGATGGCCATACGTTTTTACACCATTAGTTCATTCAGGACAGAACCGTCACTGAAAAATCGAAAGTCAAAATGCACTTACTTCGAGGCCAGGAAAGACAAGCTGATGCGGTTTTTGGCGGGGCAGACGTAGCGACCCTGTGTGAGTCGTGCAGGAGCGATTCTTCGTCGCGAGGCCGTGTTACACTGCCAAATTTTGGCCACGACCCTGTCGCCGAATCACGTCGTGTAGGAAATCGGCGAACAGTTCACCGACAGAGGCGAACAGTTCGCCGACAGAGCCCGATTTGCAGAAAACGGGTGGGGCCCCCCCCTAATCGTGCGCGGGTCGAAGCTGATCCATGATTCGGCGAACGTCGCGAATGAATGGCGAATCTGTTGCGAA